TGGCGAATCAACGTACAGACATAGTCCTTCACACATCCGGGAGCATTTTTAGTATATTTTTGTCATGGACCATTATATACTGATAGATTTTTAAGTATAACTTTTCTCCAACAGTGGTCCACCACCAGACCGAAGTAACGTCCAATGGGGAGGCTCCTAACCGCGCGAATGGAATGAAAAATGACCATGTCGACGATGATCGAGATGACCATGGAGTCCTGGAACATGTATTCCCCTCCTCCGACTGAGACAGGTTTGAGAACAGAGACCGTCAGTCAGTGGTCATCAGATGCGCCGCGCGCTCAGAAAGGTGCGTCCGATGTTCATAAAAAATCTTTTAACTAAGATGATGGGCTCATGATATTTGATTGCCTTGGAAGTTTGGTATTGCTGCCTTTCTCAAAATGACGCAATGCAAAATAATTCTGTTTAATAAGTCCTGTTTAATAAATATATATCGCCGCTTAGACGCTGGCTTCGTGACTACCACGTTCACCACCCTCGGTGCGACCGGCCGTGCAGGCCCGACCAGCCTGGGTGCCCACTACCGCGGACAGGACCACGAGAAGCTGGTGACCTTACAGGACGGGATCCAGCTCTTCACCGTGCCAGAGACCGGAGACTACAGGATTGAAGTGGCAGGTAGAAAGAAGATGATAATGATTATGATGATAAAGAAGAAGATGATGATGATGATGATGATGATGATGATGATGATGATGATGATGATGTTCCTTCGCAGGTGCTGGGACTATCACAGTCTGAACGCCTCCGTGTTGGTGATGATGAGGATGATGATGATAAAGATGATGATAAAGATGATGATGATGTTGATGATGATGTTGATAATGATGGTGCTGGTATGAACGCCTCCGTGTTGATAATGATAATGATAATGATAATGATGATAATGATGATGATGGTGTTGATGATGATGATAATGTTGATGATTGTTGCAGGCGCTGCCGGAGGCTGGGACTACCACAGTCTGAACGCCTCTGTGCGCGGCCACGGAGCGATGATGAGCGGCACATTCCGGCTCTACAAAGGTGAGGACGGCTCTCTCTTTTCAGTCCTTTTTTTTCATTCTTGAACAGAATTTCGCATCTTACCTCACATTATCTTATATTGCGGGAAATTTAACAAGCTCTTTCTGCAGTTTTGTTTCCTTTAACATCATTATAATGATCAATCTGTCACACTCATTAACACCTGAGCGTGTTAAGTCGTGTTAAGTACCTTTCCAATGGTTGGCGACAAGGCAGGATTCGAACCCTGAACCTCTTGGGCCAAATGCTGTGCCGTTACGCCACACGAACGACCGAACGAAATTTGGGGTGATGAAGTGACACCGTAAAATGCACATTATCGTAGGGAAATTCACAAAACGAGACATTCATAACAACTCTGAATACTTTCTTCGGCTATGCGAGACAGGAACTTGTGGAGGCAGTGCATGGCGTCACCATGAGGATGAACTGAACTGAATACGTATTGGTGTTTGACCTGTTATGTTTGTTCTGATCAACAGGCGAGGTGCTGAAGATTCTGGTTGGCCAGGAGGGGCTGGACAGCACTCGCTGGTTTTCCTCCGGGGGAGGCGGCGGGACGTTCGTGACCAGGTACCAAACTTGTGTTCACGATTCATATACATGTATCTGCAAAAACAAATCATTAACCAAATATAGACCTACTTACCTTAATACACTTGAATTCTTCAATTTCACTAGCAGCACTGTGAACCGTGCAGATGATCCAACGTTATTCTCATATCTTTTATTTCAGATTTAATCTAGTACCACTGAATTTCAATATTTTATCGATGTAATATACGTTTGTGAATCAATGTAATTTTATTGATAGGTGTTGAAACGTAATTTTCCACATTTAATGTTAATTAGCAAAGGTATTTCAGACACCACTTCATGTTGTACGTCTGCTATTTGCTAATAAAGTCATGTCGTATCTTATCGTAGGTTTAACAACACCCCCCTCATCATCGCGGGAGGGGGAGGGGGGATAGAGTGGCTGGAGCAGCGGTTCGCGACGTGCGACGGGACGACGCTGACGTCAGGGCAGACCAGCTACAGGGGCGAGGCTCGTATGGCGGGGAGTCTAGCGTTCGCGGGGGGTACCAACGGGCACGGGGCGACGGACGGGCGCGGGGAATTAGGCGGGGGCGGAGGCGGCTTCTACACTAACGGCGGCAGCGGGCGGCGGTTTGGAGGGTCTGGGACAAGCGGTGGGGAGGGGGGGCACGCGTTTGTGAACGGGGGGCAGGGAGGGAGGGCGCTGCATAACGGCGCAGACGGGGGGTTTGGAGGGGAGGGGTGCTTATGGCAATAGTAAGGGGTCAGGTGGAGGAGGGGGGTACTCCGGAGGGGGGAGGGGGCCCTGTTCCGTGTGCGAGTGTGGAGGAGGGGGAGGGTCCTTCAATGCCGGCACAGACGCAGGTGGCCAGAATGGAACCAACGCGGGGCCTGGTTACGCTGTGATTGTAAGGCTGTTTGGCTGATACCATGGTTCATTATGCTGTTACCTACACGAAAAATGAAAGTCGAACTTTCAAGATAAGAAGTGATTTTATTGTATTTCTTTAGACTCTAGCCGTTAATCTATGATATGGTTGAGAACAACAAATGTTGGAGCATTTGTTCCCAGATATTTGAGAATATCTGCAAATCGTTTTGTTTGCTTTTTAAAGCCTGAAATGTAAGAGCTTGACATGATACACTTGTGTGCAGAGAAAATAAAGCTGTGCAGGTTCCAAGTTGCGACTATGTGCTTGATTGTAGTAAGGAAAACTCCAAGGTTCTTTGGAAAATTATACCCAAACTCCAATAGGATGACTTTCCAAGATCATATCCAGTTGCTTCAGTAACTGTTTTTTGGCGTATTGTCCTGTGTGTTGGTGGCGACATGAATATAAGTGTTACTTGAGTGTGTCGTCGCCATGTATTTTTTTTCAATATGTGTTTCAATAACAAAAAAAGTTGGCAGCGAACCAACGTTACCTGGAAGCACGTACTTTATGCCCCCGACCGAGACCTATTTCTTCGGGGTGAAATTAAAACACCATCTCAACAGCTGGGTTTGTATAAAACGTATAATATTTTTTCTAAAGAGTTTAACATGACAACTAAAATCGGGAGAAACGTTTAAAGAATCAGCTGTTTGGAAATTATAATCAGCTTAAAATCATCATTATCATCATCAACATCATCATTATTATCAACACGGAGGCGTGCAGACTGTGGTAGTCCCAGCCTCCGGCAGCGCCTGCGGAGGAACTTGGCAGCAAAACAACGTTGCGTCAGATCACCTGGAAACATATGATTTATGCACCTGACCTAGACCTATTTCTTGCGTGGTATTAGAAATAAAAACATCTCGACAGCTGGGGTGGTTTAAATCGCATTTCCACTCACAGTGACGAGTAAAAACAGTAGAAAACAGGTCCGCTGTTTGGGAAGAGACTTCGCGCCATTGCCGCGTCTTACTCATCAGAAGGACATGCAGAGGAGACCGGGAAACGGCTTCTCAGGGCGAGCAGGTAAAACTCATAGCCTCCACCAGTCTTTTCTACGGGAACACGGATCGTAGAATTCGGCAAAAAAGAGAGTAAAATTGGCCAAAGGAGTCCGGCCGCGGGGAGGTAGTTTCTTTCCCTCCCTCAACTGCGCGGCCAGTCAAACCTACAAGGCGGCCAAACTCCCCTGGCAAATATTCTCCTACAAATAACCAGCGTAGTTAGTCTGGTAAAGGCTATGAAACTCAGCTGTACATAGCATTATAAAGTTTGATAAGCTCTTTTGTCTGCTGAATCAGCAGATAAAACAGAGGAAATCTAGCCCTGTGCAGCTCTTTTGAGTGACAGACCAACAGAATGTACTGCAGGCCTACCCAGTGGTCGGCCAAACTGTTTACATACCCAGAATATACAGAGGCGTGATCTTTATGCTGACCTAAACCTGCCCCCAAGGAAATTCCTTTAAGTACTTAAGACTAAATCTGGACCCAGACAGATGCTTGGCGTTACTCCATCAATGAAGGGACCGGTGTCCATTTTACACCACAATGTGTGATTTCAAACGTCTGACCTTAAGGTAGGAATGATAAACAATGTGAGTGGGTGTTAAGTCCTTGGGAGGACGTTAAACACCACCAGCCCTTGCTGGTGGCCTCCTGTGCAGGCTCCGGGCGGGTAGGAGTTTTGTAGAGTTTTTAACGCGTTCTTTTAATAGCCGGCCATTCTACAACCGGCCACGAGAGAAGGTTTCCATCTGTTCTTCTGAACAACAAGATACCAAAATCTATTTTAATTGATGTTGGATGTAAAACAACAAACGTACCTTGAGAATAAGCCATGTTTGTGATGAGTATACTGTAACCTTTCGTGTGGTGTATCAAACTTTCATCTAATTTAGTTCCTTTGTGAAGTGATTGTCGTCTGTATTTAATAATTTAATGTATTAATTTTCCCCACTGTCCTCTTGCACATGCTATGTATACAGGGGAGCGCCCTGCGTATGAGACCCCCCACGGCCCAACTGGAGACCCTGGGTACGAGAGCCCCCATGACGCACCCGGAGACCCTGTGTACGAGAACCCGGCCGGTAGTCTCCCGGATGGAAGTCCTAATGTCGGCCATACAGGCACGTCTGGCAGGTTTTTTTTAACGGTGTCGCTCAATGCAAGTAGGATGGCCAGAAGGATGTAGAATGGCCAGCTATTAAAAGAACGTGTTAAAAACTCTACGAAACGCAGTATCAAAACTCCCACCCGCCCGGAGCCTGCAGGAGGCTACCTTGCTGGACTGGCATAGCCAGTGTGTAAGGACAGATACAGCTTGGCTATGCTTTTATTTCGCATTTCTTTCTGCTTAATTTTTTTATGTTCTTCTGAACAAAAATTTTAAAATTAAATATTCGTTCCACTGTCCACTGTCCGGGAGGTTTTACACATATTGGTCGTGTGGCTTAGCGCAGAGGCCTCGACTCGGAACCAAGAGGTCCCGGGTTCGAATCCTGACATCGACTTCTAGGCATAGGGCTAGAGGTATAGAATCGACGTCTAGGCATAGAGCTAGAGGTATAGAACTGTAACAGCAACTCTTCTCCCTGAGTCAGAAACATCAGGATTGAGACTAGCCCAATTTCTCACAAGTAGTGAGGACTAACTGACCCAATAGGAGAAGCAGGGGTTACGAGGCTGGTCGGGAAAATTCCCTACCCCTTTTTAGACCATAATGGTTTGTTCCACTGTCCACTGTCCGGGAGGTTTTACACATATTGGTCGTGTGGCTTAGCGCAGAGGCCTCGACTCGGAACCAAGAGGTCCCGGGTTCGAATCCTGACATGCCACCGATCTGTAAGTTTCATGTATTAATTTTCCCCATTGTCATTTTGTACCTGCTGCAGGGGAGCGCCCTGGGTACGAGACCCCCCATGACGCATCCAGAGGACCTGGGTACGAGAGCCCCCATGACGTACCTGGAGACCCTGTGTACGAGAACCCGACGGGTAGTCTCCCGGATGGTGGCCATACAGGCACGTCACACACATATTGCATAAAATAAATATCGTGACTACATGTTTATGTCCAAGTGATGTAAGGAATGTCCCGTATTAACAATATGAATTACCGTGGGGTCGTGTGGCATAGCGGCAGAGTGCTAGACTCGGAACCAAGAGGGCCGGGGTTCGAATCCTGACATGCCACCGATCTTGTGCCCTTGGGAAAGGCACTTTACATGACTTTCCTCACTTAACTCAAGTGAAAATCTTAATTTTAAAAGTCTTAAAAGTCCTGTTCCGTATCTGTACTCTGCCTGTGTTGGTGACGGCATAAGATAAGCTAATATAACATGAGTGTAACGTCACCATGTCTAGTCATGAAATGTTGGAATAAAAAAAAAGAAAAAAACAAACGTTCACAGTAATTTCTTGGCTTTATATTACAACAGCATGAGCCTAGCCTAGTTGGGACAGGAGTTTAATGGACTTGTTTTACCGCAGCAGGTGGCGAGAAGCCTGACGTCCCGCCTGGTCTTCTCCAGCGTGCGTCCAGCCGCATGACAGGTACGGTTTGCTCTTCTGACATTCAGGCCACTTTTAACGGACAAATGGGCAATGAAAGAGATAAAAAATAAACTAGAAAGGTAACATTACCTTGGTATATGGTCTGCTCTGTTAACTCTTACTCAAACACATATTCATATATAATATATGGTGAGAGGAGTCTAAATGTCTTCTGCTATAAAAATGCAAAATGATGTAACCAGCAAACACTAGTTACCATGGTGAAAGACGTCTGGTTCAGGCCATTGACCTTATTGGTTTGGAGAAGAAGAAGAGAAAACAGAGCAAAACAATATGTTTCCTTCGGTAAACATAAAAAGACTTTCCTAATGGTGCAAAAGTCTCCAACCGGGATTGAGCTATCGAGGTATTGGTTTAATAAGCCTTGATTTGCCATGAAATTGATATCATATCACTAAAAAGGCTAGTATTACACGACATACTTTCCATCATCGTGATTTGTCGTACTAACGTATGTAGACGATTCTATATAAACATCAGGAAGGCAAACTTTGTTAGAAGGCTTTTAGTTATAAGGAGCTCGTGTTTGGCAGACTAATTCACAAGTTTCCTTTTATATCCAGTCTTTCCTGTCGTCTGCAGGGGAAATTAGTCTGGTTCACCTGTAACTTGACATTTGGTATTCAGACGTGGCGTGGGAGGGAGGCGACAGGAACTAAGTAATTGGTCTCGTTCACGGCAATACTTGAAATATTAAACGTACAGTCCAAAGTGAAAATAATCAATAAAAGTTGTTTGCAGTACTTTTCTCAATTAATGACAATTGGTTATCAGTAACTGGTCAAAAGACTAAATTATACACAAACAGGCAACGTTAATAAATCATGCTTCAGTACCATTTTTTTCGTCCTGTGCTTAAACAAAGACTAATGCTACTAACTACCACTAACCACTACTGTTTTACCCACTATTTACCTCAGCCCTGGAGAGCAACCACCACAGACTGTCCCTGGTCCTCTTGTACCTGGTCAACCTGGTCCTGGTCACGTATATAACAGGTGAGAAAACCTGGTCCTGGTGACGTATATAACAGGTGGGTCAAAAATGGTCCGAAAACCATCAACAAATCATAATCCATTATGGAAAGTAATATCATTGCAAATATTTTGAGTTTATGGTGCTGATTCACGTTTAATGTTAAAACTTTTAACTACTGAGAGTCATCGGGTGTACCTATGTACAGGCTGAGATGTTCAAAGTTAAAACTTTGGATCCACTACAAAGAAGTTCTCTCACCTAGAGCTTTCGACCAGTCACTCTGGTCTTCCTCAGTAGACTGACCCAGAGAGGCTTGTCACGTGGCTTCTTTGAAGTGTGGCATCAACACTGGGTCAAAGGTATCTGGTAGACGATGTCGGCACCCGTCGCGGTTACGTGAAGGTTGATGGGTCTACTGAGGAAGACCAGAGTGGTC